TCCTTAGCCTGGGCCCTGCCCTCAGTTCCAGGATGGAGACTAGTACTTTCTTGTCATGACTTAGCATTTTACTGCTCATTTAGAGGTGAGTGTTAGAGAAGGGCCCCCACACATTGCCTTGCTGGCGACTGTCTGCACAAGGCTACATCACCCAACTTCAGAGCCCTGGGGGTTTCCTCCAGCTTCTTGCTGGAGCATCTTGCCAGTCAATCTTTTCTCTCAGTTCAGCAAACTGGCAGGAGCCATGTGCATACACAGGCTACACTGGGGAGCAGCCTGCATGGGTCTGCCCGGGTGGTTCAGGACAATCACCTGGTGGGAGCAGCAGGATAGAACTAGAGACTGATGACAGCAAGCCACATGATCTGTGGCAAAACCCTCAAGAACCTGGGGTCTCAGTGTAAATCAATTCTTAAATTAATTCTTAAGCACTCCCACCACCACCACCGCCATACACCAAGTCTCCCTGGGAATCACCTGTGCCACGACATTGTCAGCCTCCATGGGGGGGGGTGGATATCGTTCTTGCTGTCTCCAGCCATATTCCCATGCCAAACGTCCTTCAGACACGTTCTTCACGCTGAATCCTATGTTGTCACCGACAGGGCTTCCACCAGGGCCTCCCAGTGCAGTCTCCACAGATTTAACCTCAGTGGTAACATTGCTGAGGTAAGGTGACTCCCACATGAGATTTAAAACAGTTGGTCTCCACAGGCTCACAGGCATGTGGTGCCAAGGCAATTCCAACAGGAGCCAGGAAGTCAGTGCCAGACATGAAGTGGTAACTGCTTCCTGAGAGGTCCCCTGGTTCTGGGTTCTTGGTTGGTAGAAAGCACTAGATAGATCACTGCCTATTAAACTATTGGGCCAGGTGCACTGGCTCAGCCTGTAATTCCAGCAACTGGGAGACTGAAACAAGAGGATCACTTGAGCAATGATCGCACCCCTGCACTCCAGCCCAGGCAGAAGGAGACCCAGTCTCTAAAAATAAATAAACAAACTTTTGGATAGGTTGGAAATGGTGGGTGCTTTTGCATTTATCCAGTTCAGGGGTGAGGTGGAGTCAGGATTTGATCCCCTGCTGTCAGACTCCACTGACTCCTTAGGGAACTCAATTAAGCCTTCAGTCCCCAAGTGAGCAGTACACCCTCAGCCCCACCAGCCCTTAGTCGCCTGCGATCTTGTATGTCTCGTCTCGCAGGGGCAGCTTCAGGGGTTTCTGACGGAGCGAGTGGGCAAGAGGTCGGAGTCCAAGACTTCCCACAGAGTCACGCTGTGGCGTTTCCCTCCTCCTCTACCTTCCAGCCCTTGAACTCAGGCATTGCGCAACATGGAAAGGCGGTGACTAGGACATGGCCTCCGTGCCCCGGCAGAACCCGAATTGTGCTCACACTGGCGTGAGCACCGTCTTGCGGTCGGTCGCTGTGCCAGCCGAAGGACGGACTGCAGCCATTTCTTCCTTTTTTTTTTTTTTTTGGCGTCTCACTCTGTCGCCCACTCACGGCCACCCCAGCGTCGACCTGCTGGGCTCCGGCCATCCTTCCGCCTCAACCTTCCAAGTAGCCGGAACTACATGTGCGCGCTACCACGCCCGGCTAAGCAGACATCTTGATGCTGGCACTCCCTTCCCGGGTGACCTCCTTGGCTGGAATGAGCAGCTTCCCGCCCAGAAGAGCGCCTGCGGCGCGTGCTCGCCCCAGCTGTTCTGGGTACGCCCGCCTTGTACGCGCCACACGCAGCCACGGTGAGCACCAGCAGGCAGGGACGCGGAGACACGCGGTGCTGGGGTGGGGGCGTCTACCGGCTTCAGGCAGTTCCAGATCCCGTTGTGAAGCTGGGAAACGCGCCCCAAAACCTCACTGATGGCCACAGACCACCGGCTGCTGTGCCCAAGTGATTCTCATCTAACCCATCTAAGTGGCCTTGCCGTCCTTCTCCTGTATCTGGCCCTTCAGGGAGACAGTGTCCCAGCTTCATTGGAATGACAGGGCTTTCAGTTCATTCTGATTCTCTCCTCCTTCTCCTCTCCCTCCCC